AAAATGAAGATGAACCAGGACATCAAGAAACCAAGAAGTTTTCCAATAGGAGAAGGCCAAGGGGAGTGCCCAATGACTAAGGTTGTAACTTTAGCTGAGCATCAAAAATAATGATTTTGGTGGATCAAGATGCACTGCATCAATAAAAATCCATGGGTCCATATAAATACAAAAGTCAGCTATTAAAAATATCCTTTCTTTGAAAATACTAATGCTGGGCTAGGAAGGTGGCTCAGTGGTAGAGCGCTTGCCTTGCATGCACGAGGCCCTGGGTTCGATTCCTCAGCACCACATAAAGAGAAAAAAAAAAAAAAAGCTGGAAGTGGCCCTGTGGCTCAAGTGGTAGAGCGTTAGCCTTGAGCTGAAGAGCTGAGGAACAGCGCCCAGACCCAGAGTTCAGGCCCACGACCGGACCCCCCCCCCCCAAAAAAAAAAAAAGAAAATACTAATGCTTACTTAAGGAGGGATTATTCACTGTCAATCAGGCAGCCTGACATGGTTATATCAACCTGCAATCCCAACTACTTGGGAGGCAGAGACAGGAGGATTGTGGCTTCAGGCCAGCCTCAGACCCTATCTTGAAAAAAGCCAGGCATGGTGGTTCATGCTTATAAATTCAGCTACTCGGGGGACAGAGGTAGGAGGACCTCACTCCAAACCAAGGCAAAAGCATGAGACCTTACCTAAAGAACAAACTAAAAATAGTAAGGACTAGAGACACAGCTTGGGTAGAGTGTACAAAGCACACAAGATCCTGAGTTCAATTTCCAATACTGTCAACAAAACAAAAACAAACTACCTGGAAACTGATCAGTAGAGAAATTTGTATAATGCCAAAGTAATAAGGGGCTTTATAGTTATAAGTTTATATATGTAGGGGATTAACAGATGAAGAAATTGCTATCATCACCCTAATTTAGGGGTCACTCTTACCAACAGGAAAAATAAAATCAGACCAGGCACTGGCGGGTCATTTCTGTAGTCCTAGCTACTTAGGAGGCTAGTATCTGAGCCTTGTGGTTTGGAGCAATCCTGGGGAGGAAAAGTCCTCAAGACTCTTATTTCCAATTAACCAGTTAAAAGCCAGAAGTGGGGCTGGGGCACAAGTGGTAGAGTGCAAGCCTTGTGCAAAAAAGGAAAGCACCCTTGCCATGAGTTCAAGTGCTAAGTCTCTCTCTTACACACACAAAAGAATGGATGAAAGAAATTATATGATACGGTACAACATAAAGTTTATAGTAACACTTACGATAGAGTTTATCCTAATTTTTACTTCACCAACACTTTAGATATATTTTCCACTTTACAAAAATAAAGGGCGAGAAGAACAAACTAAATGACACCATAAGAAAGCAACTGGATAAATCTAAACTTTTTTTTTTTTTTGTCGGACATGGGGCTTGAACTCTGGGCCTGGGCACTGTCCCTCAGCTCTTCAGCTCAAGGCGAGCGCTCTACCACTTGAGCCACAGTGCCACTTCTGGTTTTCTGGTGGTTTATTGGAGGTAAGAGTCTCATGGACTTTGCTGCCTGGCTGGCTTTGAACCATGATCCTCAGATCTCAGCCTCCTGAGTAGCTAGGATTATAGGTTTTAGCCACAAGCTAAATCTAAACTTTCTAAGATAACTTTTCTAAGCGCTTCAATTATGTCAAAAGCTTTGGGGTAGAGAAACTGAAGATGGAACCATCCGATGCAATATGTGGTTCTCAGTAAAGAACACTGGAGTCACTGAGGAAATGTGAGCTATGTATCAAATGAAACTAACATTTACTGAAGAAGTAAGACAATCTTTTGAATACAAATAAGATAGAAAATAATACACACTATGAGGTCTAATTTTCACTTTTTGAAGGTTTGCATAGAAAAAAATTATAGATATGCCCCAAGAAAATAGGGCATATTGAATTGTGGTAATGTATTTAAATTTTTTATTTTCCAATTTTTACAATACACCTGTACTGCTTTTATTACAATGAAAGATTTTAGAATTCAGCATTAGTATGGACTATCTAAAATGGAGAGATAACCAGGTGATGAAAGAGAAGGAAATTAGTGGAGGCAACTTGGAACTTTAAATAGGATGGCAAGGAAATGTTAGATGTTGGCCTGCTGGCTAGTGTTAGCTTAATAACTATTTGTTGCAGAAAGAAAAAATTAGCAAATCAAGTATGTAAATTCTGTAAAGGTCAGATTAAGGACCTGTGCTATGAATGACATAAAAGCAACATGAGGGAAATGATGGTTCTAGAAGGGTTACTTTTAGTTCTAACATTCTCTTCCCCTCTATTCATTATGTTTGGGTCAAGATTTTTTGGGGCGTGGAATAGTGGAGTGGGATGTAAGGGTTTACAAAGGCCAAATCATTTCCATTTCAGAGTCTTAGCATCAGTTAGTCTTTTGACTTAAGAGTGCCTTTTTCTCTAGGACTTCATGGAGGCCACCTTAACTCCCCCTATCATAGCACTCATGGTAACTGTGCCTTCCTAATACCTGCCATCTTCTCTCTGTTCCCACTGCTAACTATATTTCACACTCTGACCATTTCTGAGTTCCCCATTTCTCATCTTAATTTTAAACCCTTTCCACACTACCAGAACCTCTATTTGTTACTATAAGAAAGATGACTTTCATTTTCTTGATAGTTTGAGAGAATCAACATTCATTCCCAACAAGTGCAATAGTGGGGATTTTCAATGATTTCTTTTCTACATTTTCTCAGTTTTCTATATTGATTAGTTTACTTTTTTAGTCAGGAACAACGACAACACTTCTTTTTTTTTTGGTCGTGGAGCTTGACCTATGGGCCTGGGCACTGTCCCTCACCCTTCAGCTCAAGGCTAGCACTCTACCACTTGAGCCACAGCACCACTTCCAGTTTTCTAATGGTTTATTGGAGATAAGAGTCCCACGGACTTTCCTGCCTGGGCTGGTTTTGAACCATGATCCTCAGATCTCAGCCTTCTGATAGCTAGGATTACAGGAGTGAGCCACTGGCGCCCGGCCAACTTCTCTCATTTTAAAAGCCTGTTTTAGGTAAATTAAGCAAAAATGGAATGCCAAAAGCTTAGGAAAATATGCATAAAGGAAGTCACTATCACCATCCCCTCTGGGTCAAAGGTCGTTCACACACCCTAGAACCAATAGCCTCTGTGAGCCCCCCACCTGTGTTCATGAAAAGGGGTGACTACGGCTAGGCACACGTATGTAGATCTGGGGGGAAACAGCAGTAACAGACAAGAGGAACTACTCTTGGGGACAGAAGTCCCTGGGAGTGGAGGGTGTGGAAGGCCTGCAAAGGAGGATGAGGGTGGAAGTAAGGATGGGCCAGAAGGGAAGATGGACCAAGAGGGGAGAAGTGAGCAGCAAGGAGAGGAGAGCTTCGGGAGGGTCACCACTAGAGCAGGGAAGAGGGGAGTTGAGGAAGAAGAGGAGAGCCAAAGGGGAAGGGAGCTGAGGAACAGTGGGGTCAGCCACGAGAAGGGTGGGCCACGAGCAGTGGGGGAGCCAAGGGGGAGGGGAGCCAAGGAGAGTCAACCCTGGAGGGGGAAAGGAGGGGGGCAGACCAGGAGAGGGAGGAAGGGAACAGCAGGGGGAGGTTAGGTGACAAGAGGGGTTTGGTGAGCTGGAGCGGGCCACGAGAGGGGGAGGGGAGCTGGGGTGGGCCACGAGAGGGGGAGGGGAGCTGAGGACAGACCACGAGAGGGGGAGGGGAGCTGGGGGCAGACCACGAGAGGGGGAGGGGTGCTGAGGACAGACCACGAGAGGGGGAGGGGAGCTGGGGGCAGACCACGAGAGGGGGAGGGGAGCTGGGGCGGGCCACGAGAGGGGGAGGGGAGCTGAGGACAGACCACGAGAGGGGGAGGGGAGCTGGGGGCAGACCACGAGAGGGGGAGGGGAGCTGGGGCGGGCCACGAGAGGGGGAGGGGAGCTGAGGACAGACCACGAGAGGGGGAGGGGAGCTGGGGGCAGACCACGAGAGGGGGAGGGGAGCTGGGGCGGGCCACGAGAGGGGGAGGGGAGCTGGGGGCAGACCACGAGAGGGGGAGGGGAGCTGAGGACAGACCACGAGAGGGGGAGGGGAGCTGAGGGGGGCCACGAGAGGGGGAGGGGAGCTGAGGACAGACCACGAGAGGGGGAGGGGAGCTGGGGTGGGCCACGAGAGGGGGAGGGGAGCTGGGGTGGGCCACGAGAGGGGGAGGGGAGCTGGGGTGGGCCACGAGAGGGGGAGGGGAGCTGGGGTGGGCCACGAGAGGGGGAGGGGAGCTGGGGTGGGCCACGAGAGGGGGAGGGGAGCTGGGGTGGGCCACGAGAGGGGGAGGGGAGCTGGGGTGGGCCACGAGAGGGGGAGGGGAGCTGGGGCAGGCCCGAGGGGGGGAGGGGAGCTGAGGACAGACCACGAGAGGGGGAGGGGAGCTGGGGGCGGGCCACGAGAGGGGGAGGGGAGCTGAGGACAGACCACGAGAGGGGGAGGGGAGCTGGGGGCAGACCACGAGAGGGGGAGGGGAGCTGAGGGGGGCAGACCACGAGAGGGGGAGGGGAGTTGGGGTAGGAACGAGGGGGGGAGGGGAGCTGAGGACAGACCACGAGAGGGGGAGGGGAGCTGGGGGCAGACCACGAGAGGGGGAGGGGAGCTGAGGGGGGCCACGAGAGGGGGAGGGGAGCTGAGGGGGGCCACGAGAGGGGGAGGGGAGCTGAGGGCAGACCACGAGAGGGGGAGGGGAGCTGGGGGCAGACCACGAGAGGGGGAGGGGAGCTGAGGGGGGCCACGAGAGGGGGAGGGGAGCTGAGGGGGGCAGGCCCGAGGGGGGGGCGGAGGGGGCAGGGAGCCGACGGCCGGCCCGAGGGGGGCAGGTTAGTCAGGAGGGGGTCAGCCTGGAGAGGAGGGGACGAAGGGCTCGGAGCCCAGGCGGGCCCTGGCGGGCTGGCGCGGCGCCGCCGTCCGTCCGTCCGTCCGTCCCGCGGCCCGGGGCGGAGGCCCGGCCTCCCTGTGCGGGTTACCGGAGCCGTTGGGGCCGATGATGCAGGAGAACCTCTTGAAGGGGCCGATGACGTGGCGGCCCCGCCAGGACTTGAAGTTCTCCATGAGCAGCAGCTGCAGGTGTCCCATGGCGCCGCGCCTCCGCCGCCGCCGCACCTCAGCCGCCGCCGCACCTTGGCCGCCGCACCTCAGCCGCCGCGCCCTCCGCGCTGGCCTTCGAGGAAAGCGCGGGAAGAGCTTCGCCAACTCTCGCGAGACGAGAGCGCGCGCCGCGCGCCGCCGTTCCTTAGCAACCGGGCGGGCGGCGCGTTCGGGCCGGCCGAGCGCAGCCCCGGCCGCCGCGGCTCCTTGGCGGGGTTTGCCGGCTTTGAACCCTCGACTCGCGTCCGAAATGAGCGTGACGCTGCCCAGGGACCTGCAGCGGGAGGCCGCGCTGGCCAGGAGGAGGCACACGGAGCAGCTCCGCCAGAAACGCGTGTTCAACGCCCGGGACAGGATCACCGGGGTGAGGGCCGGAGGGGGGGACGGGGTCACCGGCGTGAGGGCCGGAGGGGGGGACGGGGTCACCGGGGTGAGGGCCGGAGGTGGGGGGACGGGGACGGGATCTCGGGGTGAGGGCCGGAGGTGGGGGGACGGGGACAGGGACGGGATCCCCGGGGTGAGGGCCGGAGGTGGGGGGACGGGGTCACCGGCGTGAGGGCCGGAGGTGGGGGGACGGGGACGGGATCTCGGGGTGAGGGCCGGAGGGGGGGACGGGGTCACCGGCGTGAGGGCCGGAGGGGGGGACGGGGTCACCGGGGTGAGGGCCGGAGGTGGGGGGACGGGGACGGGATCTCGGGGTGAGGGCCAGAGGTGGGGGGGGATGGGGACAGGGACGGGATCCCCGGGGTGAGGGCCGGAGGGGGGGGGGACGGGGTCACCGGCGTGAGGGCCGGAGGTGGGGGGACGGGGACGGGATCTCGGGGTGAGGGCCGGAGGTGGGGGGGACGGGGACAGGGACGGGATCCCCGGGGTGAGGGCCGGAGGTGGGGGGGGGGACGGGAATGGGGAAGATGCAGGCCTGGCGGCCACTCAGGTTAGGCGCAGCTGAAAGGCTGGTGGGAGGAATAGTCTGGCACCAGCAGGGTTCCCTGGCAGCCGGGAGGGAGGCCCAGCTGGTGGGATCCGCGCCCAGCCTCAGTGAAGGGAGGCTAGGACCTGACTCGCTTTCCCTCTGAGCCGTGTTTTCTACCCTGGGTGGGCTCCTCCCCACCCACTTATTACACAAACGCCGGTGGAGTAGCCATTGGTGGCCAGCCTGGACAGGGTCCAGCAGGTGAGGACAGAGTAGTCCCTGGCCTTCTTTGCGGGACATCTGCCCTGAAGGAGACAGACTTTCAAAAGGCGTTGACCACAGAGTGCGGGGAGGGAGGGCAGGGCCTAGCTGGCTGCCTACATACCCTGGAGTCTGGGGGGACATGAGAGAAGACTTCCTGGAGGAGGTGATGCTAAGCAGCGCTCTGAGGAGGAATGCCTGTTAGTTAAGAAAGGGAAACAGGAAGTTCTAGGGAAAGTTGAGTGCACAGGCCCAAGACCCCAAACACAGGCTTCCAAACGTGGAAAGGGCTGGTAGGCACCTGAGCTGGCAACTGGTGGGCACTAGAGGTAGAGATGATTATGTGGCTTTCATGCTGTTCCTCGGTGTTCCATGTCCAGGGAGACACACAGGCCTGGAATGCTCAGGTGCAGGAACAGAAGATGAGAGAAGCAGCTGAAAAAACACGAGAGGAAGCATTTGGTGAGCGTTCTCCCCGCGCCTCACAGGCTGTGCCTTCTGTCCTCACCATGTGTAGCAAGTTGTTGGGCTTGGGGGCTTAGCTCAGGAGTGGATTACCTGCTTAGCTTGTGTACTCCCATGCGTGGGAGTGCCCACCTGCGTGCTTTCTCACACACAATCATTTCACATTTCACCATTTCACACCTGAACCTGGCTGGGGATTTAGCCAGTGCAAGCGGGCTTGCCTAGTCAGTGTCAGGCCCTAAGTCTGCTCCTCAGCACTGGCAAAAACAAAACAAAAAACCCAGCAGCTTGTGCTCAGTGAATGAGCTAGTTCTCTTTCCTTGAAATCAAAGCACTCCAGGCACTCATGGCTCTTGCCTACAATCCTAGCCACTCACAAGGCTGAGATTTAGGATTGTGATTCAAAGCCAACTCCAGCTGGGCGCCAGTGGCTCACGACTGTAATCCTAGCTACTCAGGAGACTGAGATCTGGATCACAGTTCAAAGCCAGCCAGGGCAGGAAAGTCCGTGAGACTCTTATCTCCAAAAACCACTAGAAAACCAGAAGTGGCGTTGTGGCTCAAGTGGTAGAGATCCGGCCTTGAACTGAAGAGTGCAGGGACAGGACCCAAGCCCAGAGTTCAAGCCCCACAAAAAAAAAAAAAAAAAAAGCCAACTCCACAGAAAAAGCACAAGAGATGCTTCCGTTAACCAGCAAAAAGTTGAAACTGAGCTGTGGCTCAATTGAGCCACAGCTCAATTTCACACACACTCAAATGGTGTGCCCTGGCCCTGAGTTCAAGCCCCAGTACCAGCACTAAATAACTAAATATTTTAGTTTTAACGTAGATCAGAGGAAATAAATTTTAAGGATGAATGTATGTTCTTTAAAAATAAACTAGAAAAGCCTTAAACACACACATGTATACGTTCTCACCCCAAAAAAGTCCAAGATCTTGATCTGTGGGGGTGCTGTTTACCCTAAGTAACACCAATGCACAGAACTCACTTCCTGAGGTAGGAGTCACATAAAGTGGCATCGGAGTCTTAGATAAAATTTAAGATAAAAGTTAAGGGTTCATTCAGTTATAGCCAACAAACTCAACAGTGATTGAAACTTCAGGTTTTTAAAATCTCATAAGGATTTTTAAAATAGAAAAAAAATAAGTTTTTAAAATAGTTTAGACTACTTTAAACAAGATGGAAAATGTTGCAGCAAGACTTATGTTGGAGTAAAGAACTATGAATAAAGTTTATTTTCTTCTTTGTAAATGTTTATATTATCCAAACTTTACTGTTGTTTTTTTTTGTTTGTTTGTTTGTTTTGGGTCCGGTTGAAGGGCCTGAACTCTGGGCCTGTGCTGTCCCTCAGCTCTTCAGCTCAAGGCTAGCACTTTACCACTGGAGCCACAGCGCCACTTCCGGCTTTTTTTTTTTTTTCTTTTTGCTTATGTGGTGCTGAGGAATCGAACCCAGGGCCTCAGGCATGCAAGGCAAGTGCTCTACCACTGAGCCACCTTCCCAGCCCCTGTTTTTATTTTTAGATATAAACTAATTCGAACTTGTAAAGCAAGTGTGACAGAGATTTGTGTGTCCACCCATTCCCCCCACCCAAACTAGGTATTAACATTTTCCCAACTTGGCTTCATATAGTTGTAGTAGTATTAATTATTTTGTTCAGATTCTGGGGCTTGAACTCAGATCCTGAATGCTGTCCTTTAGCTTTTTTTTTTTTCTCCCTGTTTATGTTCATCCTGGGGTTTAGCCTCAGGGCCTGGGTGCTATCCCTGAGCTGCTTTTTGCTCAAGGCTGGTGCTGTACCTCCACTTCTGTCTGTCTGTTTGGGTGTGTAATTAGAGATAAGGCTTTCCTGCCTGGGCTTGTTTCACACCTCCATCCTAAGCTCTCAGCGTCCTGAGTAGCTAGGATGACAGGTGTGAACCACCATCACCTGGCTTATGGGTGCTTATGCTGTGTGTCCCTAGGTAGATCTGGTCTGGTATTGATGGATGTTCATAGTGCCAAACTTCTTGGTTAGCAGTGAACCAAGATCTTCTGTAAGCAAAGCAGTGTGAGAGAGATCTTGTATCCTATAGCCTTACTAATCTTTCATGCAGCTGGTAGCATTTTGAGTGCTTTACCTCCAATTCATTGGGGCTTCCATCTTGCAAAATTAACCATCCTTTCACAAGTTTATTAACCAGTCAGGTTTCTTTTCTCTTTCTTTTTTTAAAAGCAATTTTGTTGTTGTGCCAGGGGTCTTGAACTGCAGGATCTTACATTCTTCATTAACATTTTTACCCAATGCTGGCACTCTACCTCTTGAGCCACAGCTCCACTTTTGGCCTTTTGGTGTTTCATTAGAGATAAGAATCTCACAGATTCTTTTCCTGCCCAGGCTGGCTTCCAATCCCAATCCTCAGACCTCTGCCTCTTGAGTGGCAAGGATGACAGGTGAACCTCCAGTGCCCGGCCAGCTCAGGTTTCTTGATAGAGATTTGCCTGTTCCTAGCCTTTGCCCATTTTATTGGTTGGGTTATTTTTCTAAAATCAATTTGTAGGTGCTCTTTATATATTCAAGATACTAATCCTTTAATGGTCAAGGTTTCATTTTGATGTGGGTTTTTGTTTTTTTATTTCCTAGCTGCTGAAATTAAGCAGAATGACAAAATCACATGCATATTAGAAGGCCGGGAAAGGAGAGACAGGAAAAGTCTCTGCAGAGCTATCAATGACTTCCAGCAGACCTTTCAAAAGCCAGAAACTCGCCGTGAATTTGACCTGTCTGACCCCCAAGCCCTTAAGAAAGCGCTTCCGGCTGGGATTTCAGATGATGGCGAGAATGCAGTCATAGGAATGCATAAGTTCATGGGAGAGGATTTAAAGTTCCGGGAGAGGAAGAAGTTCCAACAGGAACAGAACAGGGAGTGGTTCCTACAGCAGCAGCAGGAATGGGAGAAAGCCCGGGCTGACCACAAAATGGCAGGTAAGGACAGGCCAGAGGTGACTTGGCAAATCAAACCCCTAGGTTTTGTGGGTGATTTTTTGGGGCGGGGGATGGTACTGAAGTTTTGAACTCAGAACCTGTTCTTTGCTAGGCAGATACTCTACCACTTGAGCCATGCCTCCAGCCATGTAGGACGGCTTTTTTAAGTCTTAGGGTCGCACACCTGCAGATGTGGTTCAGTAGCACAGGCAATGTCCTCCCAGAATGACTCTGGATCAGGGCCCGGAACTGGTTCCTGGCCTGTGTGTGGTCTCAGTCTGCTTGGAAAAGGAATGGTGTAAGTGGCGCTGTAGCTCAAGTGGTAGAGCGCTCGCCTTGAGTTGAAGAGCTGAGGGACAACGCCCAGGCCCAGAGTTCAAGCC